GTATGTGTGTGTGTGCTTGGCAACGGTTCTTGCATTTTTGCCATGCGGACCTTTACAGTGATGCGAATATCCCTTGTATCCTGGCCTCCTGCTGTTCTCCGCCGCCTACGTTTGCCCGAACATTTAGTTGTTTTTTGGGGCTGTGCAACTGAAATTGTTGTCTATGCCACAGTCACGTACCACGTTGATACTTGAATCACACACACACACACACACACACACAGGCAGGCAAACACATACAGGCACCGCAAACATAGTTCAAAGTGAAGCTGCGGAACTTGTCATACACAAAATGTAATGCACGCCCAGGCTAGCAAAGCTCTCGAGATGGTCAAACAACAGGAGGGGAAGATGGGGAAGGGAGGATTATGGACGATGTCAACTACAAAGGCAACAACAACACAACATGTAATGCTGCTGCAGTTGTAAATTGACGACCAATAGATACCCTATGTTGCCTATCTGTCATATCAGACTGCCAATCACTTGAAAATGGGTCTAGAATTTTTTAACGATTCATTTAATTATTTTCCTAAATGTTTTTATTACCGCACTTAACAGATAAAAGAGACACTAATTTATCGTTATCAATTTATATTAAATTGTGCTGCGTTTATGCTGAATGAGAATCTATATCGCTTGCGGTAGTCTCCACATTTTGAGTATAAAAACAAACACTATAAAAACAGATATTCATTTTAAATACAAATAAAAATATTAAAAATAAATATTAAATACAAATAAAAATATTAAAAATACATATGTGCTTATTTAACTCAACCGTATAATTTTAATGGAACCAGAATCATATTGTGGTATAGGAAAACACACAATGCAACGATTAAAGACACAGACGACAATCGAACTGGGCAGCGGCAACATATCTGAGACAGGCCAAATCTCTTTTAGGCAGCTATAATCAGACACAATTGAATCAAATAATATCCAAGGGAACTTAGAATACTCATCGATCTGTTGACACAGTGTATACTAAGAAATCACCTAACTAAACTCGATAAAATCAGTAGCGGAGTCTGACGATGTGGAGGAATCCTCAAAGCAGACCTTACCAGAAAGTGAAGTCTTATCCGGAATAAAAAGCAGTTTTCTAGGGAAAGTTCTTCAGTTGGGTAAATATTGCTCTCATTCTAAAGAAATATTCTTACAAGAATCCGGCTTGAAGGAGGCGCTATAGGCTTAGAACGGAACACAATAGATCTAACTGAATGAAACGCAAAATAATAATTAAATTCAATTAATTATTTATGATTTTGATACTATAAATATACAGTTTCTAGAATCTTAAGATTATTTGCATGTCTGCCAGTATTTGATTGATTATATATTGATTTTGACTTTAGGCGAGCTATTAATAAAAAAAAACCCGTTCAACAATTATTCTTAACTTTTGTTTATTTATAATTTATTTAAATAAGAAGGTATTTTTCTATTTGTCACTGCAAAAAAAAACATATTTAAAATATAATAAGAACTCACAAGACAATAAACCATTTTCAGACATATATTTCACAAATTATAGAAAAGTATACCCTGAAAAAATCTACAAAATCTGCTAGTTAGACGCAAACTACCGTTTTAGAAATATACTTTCTAAAAATAAGGTGCTTCTTCTAAAATTAGTATTTGTTGTTGTTGTTGTTTTTTGAGTGAATATTGACTTTATATATTCGTAAAAGTGTGCTACTCCCGCGTGATTTCGTAATACCCATTTTATTTTTGGAATGCGTATAGGGTATGGAGTAAACCACTGTTGGAGGCGGTATCTGCATTTTGGCAACACTGTAACGGGAATCGACTACCGGGCAGGAGTTCCGACAGATCCCGTAACGCAGCCCAGTTCATCCGCATCCTCACCCCTCTCTCTCTCTCTCTCTCTCTCTCTCTCTCTCTCTCTCTCTCTCTCTCTCCCTCTTTACCTATCTCTCTCATTTAGCTGGCTGTCAGTGGCAAGGCTTTTAGTTGCCCCAGGCAGTTGCGTTGTGTGCTTGTTTTGTGTAACCCGTTTTGTGGCCAATGCAGGTTTTAATTGAATTTGGAATTTTGGGCCTGGCGCTGAAGCGAGCCTCAAAGCAAGTGCATACAAATTTCATTATGGCTGACAATTATTTGTGGCTCAATTGGCGGCCAACAGCCCAAACGGAATTAGCTGGCAAATTTGATTTTGGCTTTAAAAGCCAAAGCCAACGGAACACCGCTAGCTACTTGCCACAAAATCGACCACCGTAAAGTCAGTCGGTCAGTCAGTTGTGCAGCACGCCTCGTTTAGTGTGTGGGCGTATGGGCGTATGGGCGTGGTTGCGGTTGTTGTGGCCATGTCCGAGTCGCGTGACGATTACCATTTTAGTTTAATTGCCAACGAGTTCGCAAATGCGCCTCAAATGACGCAGTGCAGCAGTTCTTTTATTTGTCCGCAGTTGTTGTTAGGATTGGTAATTGTGGTGTCAACATGCGGAAATCTGAGTGGTTGATGGACTGCCTTTGATTAAACTTTGTTTCTTTATTCACTTTTTGATACTGATAGCTGCAATATCCTTTTGTTTAACATTATCTTTATTTGTTTGATATCGTCTCTTTACTCAGAATTTATGAAGTTTTTATTGTTTTTAGAAATAATTTCTAGATTCACGAGAAAAGTATTCTAAAAATTGGAAAGTCTTTTTTTTATTTTTCACAAATAAATTTCTTAAAAACAGAATATATTTCTAAAAGTTTGCGGTTAAGCTAATTTTTGAACTCTGTGTACACCTGTATATTATTCAATACTTTTTAAAAATTGTATAAAAACATGCACTCGAATTTCGAAAGAAATATAAATGAAAATCGAACAGCTGCGAATTATGAAAGTCGACATAAATCAAAACAAAATTAGTTTTTGAAAGTCATTATTGGTTTCTGCTTGGAGCAGCTTGCAGGCCACTAAACATCGATCGATAATGCATCTCATGGTTTCATCAGTTCTCTGTAGTGTTATTAAAATGAGAGCTCAAAAGCCCATTTGGCTGTTTATACATCTGAGCGAAAATGTTAATGTTAAATTGTACATAGCGAGACAGTGATAAAGGATGAAGAGAGAAGAGAAGTGAACTCAACAACCTCGCGTAGTTCTCATAAAATGGTCTGGTGCCTTTGGCAAGATTGGAATTCAAGCCACTTTATAGCCAGAGATAACGTTGCTGTTTAAATATTGACATCGTTACGGGGGAAATTTGTCATTTAAGGCGGACAAAGTATGAGAAACAAAAAGCAAGAAGCCAAACGATTTGATTGCTGCAAACTCGTCTGCAGGAAAGCGTACAAGAATCATAGTTTAAAACAAAACAAAATAGCAGATAACATAACAGAGTTGATCTCTGCAGCTAACAGGATAATGTTTACAGCAGGGCTTAACAATAACAGTGAGAGGAAGAGTTACAAGGAGATAACTGCTGTTAATTGACAGTTGCACAATTGTATTCCATAAGCAAAACATTTCAATAATGTGTTAAAAAAACCGTTGGAAAAATTAAAATGGCAGCAAAGTACATATCAACAGAACATAATTTATTGACTTTAAATAATAATTGTTTTAAGGTTAACAAGTCATGACAGAATTTGCTGTTACTTTTTCGTGACACGTATGTTAAGCTTACACCTCGACTGCTGTTAAGTGACATAATGAATCAATGTACAAATGTTATTAATACAAAAAATGTTGAATGAAAAGTAGCTGAAACTAGCAGAAATTATACTATACATCAAAACATCATTTATTGAGTTCTGTCAAAGCTAGCATGACAAATAGCAACAATAATGGTAGATATCATAACATAATTTATCATTTGAGAGAGTGAGAGAGAGAGAGGGAGTTAGTAGGAGCTAAGCTTACATTCAGACCGCTGTTAAGTGACATATTACACAATTGTAGGCCATAAAGCAGAAACGTTAATAAAGCAAATAGTGTCAAATTAACAGTTAGCAGTTATAACTTATTGAGTTTAAATTATATTTCTCTTAATGCAAAATCGTGATCGTGATTAAATAGAGAGAGATTCAAGAGGAGCTAAACTTACATTCCGACTGCTGTTAACATAATACACAATTGTGTGCAATAAAATAGAAATATCAATAATACAAATAGTGCAGTTAAAGTTCGCAATAATACTCTTATTCAATCGACATGAAAATCCACTTCAATTTATTATACCCAAATTTCTGGGCAATGTTTGATTAGATCAGCCCACACCCAAAACCTTCTTGCTTTTTGAGCTTTAAGTATGTATTAAAATTGATTGCAATTGAGGCCGACTTTTTTCCTCTTTTTCACTTGGTTCTCTCTCCAAGTTGGTGCCGGGAGCTGTCAAGTGGTTTATGGCACCCGAAGGAATGTGAGACGCTTTACAACAGAAATAATCATTGCAAAATGTATTTATTTACTTGGCATTTGGTCGGGCGTAAAACAAACGACAGCGACTCAGTTGCTTTCAAACATTGCAATAAACTCGGCTGCCAATGTCCTGGAATATTTAATGCTCCCGTCTTTGGGCCCCAACTTTCCCAGTGGGCAAAAAAAAAAAACGAAAGTAAAAAGCGAAAAAAGGGAAAAGTGGAAGGGGGCCAACGTTGCGTATGAGCGATTCTTTCAGTTCTTTGGTTATATATATATTTTTTTTTTTGGTAGTGTTACGCCTTACGATAAGTAATCGTATTCGTCTTCGTATTCGTATTCAGACTTGAGGGTCTGATTATCCCAAATCAGCAAATGAATTTAGGCGGAAAAATGGGAAGGCGTGCAAAGCGTGCCACAGGGAAAAGCGTGTTAAAAAACGCAAACAAATCAAAGGGCTGCAGCCAAAAGAAACAGTAAGGAAAACAATCGCATTTACAAAGTAAATAAACACAACAAAAAATAAATCACAATGCTTAAACCAATTCCTTATTTATTATATGTTCTCTTTGGTGACATTTCCCAAAACTTATTGAACTAAGCAAAGAAAACCAACCTGTTTTTTAGCCTGCTGTTTTTGGCGGGTTTCGAGCGGCTGCCTCAGTTAATAAACGTTGCCGTTTGTTGGTCAATTTCCATAGGAAACAAAAGAACAACAATTACAACAAGAATAAAAAAAATAAATAGGAAGAAGTTAATGGGCCCGCGGGTCCGGGAAATTGCCTTTTGTATTTGGTCGATAATTGGTATTAACGCACACCAACACACACTCACACACACGCACACACACACACACACACACTGAACACTTGTTTTTTTATGCACTTGTTGTATTTTATTTATATTTAACCAAATTTTAGCAGCTTGCTTTTTTTTATTTATTATTTTTCAGACACAAATTAACAAACTTAAGACACAATAAAATAGTTTTTGTGTTTGTTAAATGAGGAGCATTTGATTTTTATCGGCAATGCAATTTTCATATATATTTTCAAATATTTGCGGCCGTCGCGTTTGGCGCGAAAGGCCAATGTCCGTTTTTTTTTTTTTTTTTTTTTTTTGCTGAACGTTCCGATTTCCGCGTTCGCGTCCGTTTTGTGCAAGCGCCGTCGAGTGTTTGACTCCGTCTGACGACTGCGTGCGAGTCTCAGTCGCATTGCAACATGTTCGCTGCTCGATGACGACAACGAAAAGCTTTTTTCTGCTGTTACCCAGCCAGCACGTCATCGTTAAAAGCTAAAGCTTTTGCGCTCGTTTGTTTTTGCGTCTTGTTTGTCTTTGCACTTTGCCCTTTGTTTTCTTTTTTTTCCCCTCTATCTTTTGTCTGTCTGTTTGCCTTATTGCTGCTGCTGCTGCTGCTGTTGCTGCTGCTAATGCTAAGACTGCAGTTATTTCTATTGCTGTTCTGTTTGTTGTTGTAGTTGTTGGTGTTAGTCTTTTGTGTGATGTTGACGACAACAACGATTGCAACTGTTACAGCTGCTTGGGCCATTTGTATATTTGTTCGTCGAGCAGCTTTTGATTTTTATTTCATTTTTCTTTTCGCTATTGGCCTGTTTATGAGCCAAAAACGCTGACAGCTATTTATTATTCATACACATTCACATACATAAATACATAAATACATAAATACATATGTACTTTTGTTCGCATTCTTTTCACATTTATTAGTTGCTGCTCTTTGGCACTCTGGGATTAACCATTGCTCATTCATTTTCATTCGTTTGATAGCTAAATATTTCTGTGTGTTTTTTATAAATTTCGCAATACGTTGTAAATTTGAAGGTAAACATTTGCATCTATTTACTCATGCATTGTTTATAGAGCATTACTCATACGCCAGGTAATCACTGACCAAAATCTAAAAATCTGCATTTGCTTCTGTTCTTTAGTCGTTGTTAACCATGCCTTTTAATTGTGGCCAAGCACGAATTCGCTAACGGTCATTTTCGTAATGCAGTTAATGACAGCTGAAATACACTTTTCAAATCAAATACTAAAAGTGACTACACTCAGAAAAATATTCGATTTTAAATTTAAGAGGAAAATCATTTATTTGTTTCTTGAAATATTTTCTTAATATTGAAATAAAGAATATTCTTAGCAGCGGAAAAACTTATTTTCAATTTTCTTTTAGATAATGGCAAATATTTTTCAAAATTTGAAATGCAACATTTTTAAAAAAAAAAAACTTTTTAAAAAACTAAAAATTAGTAATGAAAATAGCATTCTTGGCGGCTAATTGTTAAATTGTTGTTTATCTGAAATCTTCAAACACGAATAATAATATTTGTAGCAAATAGTTAATATATGAGTTCCGTGTACACTCAAACACATAAGAAAAACTATTGGAAATTACACATATTTTTGTAAATTTTAGAAAAATGTACCCTGAAATTCAGAAGAGAAAATCCCTGGAAAAGACACAGTTTTCCGTTTTAGAAATATACTTTCTGAATATAAAGAAAGTAATTCAAATGTCTGCGATTTTCTAAAATTCAGGGGGACTTTTTTCTGATTTTTTTAAATTCAATAAAAAAATTAATTCAATATAATAATTATAATTTTCTAGTCAAAAAACAAACCAAAATTAAATCCCTTTGTTACATAATAAATTAAACTGATGACTGAATTCTATTTATTTAATAAATTTCAGCGTTATTTTAAATCTCCCGAAACCGATTTAGCATGCTTCAAGGCCTTTGTGTATTTGAATTGTAAACATTAAAATAATAAGATTTACTATGCTTGAAATCTTAAGACAAAATCTGTGGTTTTTGTAGCCACAACAAATTGCAATTTAAATGGCCAAAAACTCATTTGCCAAATGCAACAGAAGCAGACGTTTGCAAACTTGATTAATGATTACAAAGTGTTTGAGTTGCGTATACGCCACGTGGTGCGGCGAACAGCAGCATGCATACAATATGCCAACTTGTATTATGATTGAGCATGCGATGTGGCGGATTGTGTGGCCTGTAAACAAACCAAAACTTGACAATAAGTCAAATGCTGTCAGAAGGTCGCCCGAGCTGCGATTGCCGTCCGTTCAGTGAAAGGGGAAGTGCTGTGAAGGGCTGTGGATGGAGGAAGAGATGGAAGGCATGGAAGGGATGGCAAACGCACGTGTGGAAATGCCTGACGCATATCTTATCAAAATGTTTGCTATGCCGAGTAGTTCTAGGTGTGCTTGTGTGTGTGTTGAGTGTGTGGCACATTATCACAGGCCATGATTTATTTATAGGCCAAGCCAGGTGCTGGCCTTTGCCAGACAGGAGAGACCCTTAGTGGACAGAGCTGTACCCTGTACGTAATTCAAGCGAACAAAAGAGGTTGCTTGATAGTCTTATGCAACTGGCAGCAAGAGTTAAATGCGTCTTTATTATTAAATTATACATTTACTTAAATACAGATATCAAAATAATAATATTGCTACTCTTCACAACATTTGCTCTTTTATATAATTTGTAGCATTATATCTCAGTAACTATTAGTCCTGTTGGATCTCCAAAGAATGCTCTATTCCAGTTAATTTTTATTTTTTAGTTCTGTTTGGACCAAAATAATAGTAGTAATTTCGAAATACACAAATAAATGGTTACAGTGGATAATATTTACTGTTTCCCATCAATTTAAATAAGTTTTTGATCGGTTCAAGCATATTCTTATGAGTCGCAATTTCGCTTAATTTAGTTTAAGATAAATCATTCATTTTCAATTTAAGACATTTCTAATAATACTAACTATGACAAACTATTATTATAATAATTGTAAATATATGTAGCTGTCTATGTTTAGTTAGCTCTAGAAGAGCAGATCAACTCGGTTGATGATGCTGATCAAGAAAATGTATAAATATATATATATTTATACTTTATGGGGTCGGACATGCTATATTTTGTTTGTTACGTAGTTTTGCGCATGGCTTTTGAAAACCATTTCAGCTTTGACGAAGGGGAACATTTGGAATCGACCGAATCAGATATTTTGGAATAGAATTTTGACTATGAATCGGACATCTATATTAAAAGGCAGCATGGAACTTATTCAAAGGGTATTAAATAAGTAATCAAAGGACTGACTGTAGGGCACTTGCCTAGTCGATCAGTCTGCGTGTACATTGCCCGTATTTGTTTTGCTGTCATTGTTGTTATTGTGGCTTGACAAGTTGGAAAAACTGTCAATTGATTTACTTGACCCACATCGCAGACGTCTCAGATATCCGCTTACGGCTTTCAGCCGCTTTTCCTTCACTTTTTTCGGCTACTTCCGTTTTGGGACGTTGCCAAATGCGATCAATATTTGGCAGTTATAAGCGAAGCATTAGCATGATTTTTGGGGCAGGTGAAGAGGCATATTTTTTGTGCTGACTTCTTGACCTTCTTTCGCCGTCTGTTCAATTGTGGCCAATGGCCACTTGATGGCATTCAATTTGAGCGCAAAATTAAATTTATGTTAATGTTGCATAAACTTTTTAATTAAGCGGTGGCAAGTTGCTGCTCTGCGCTGAACAGGTTGCCCAAAATCCACAGCTATCTTTTAATCTATGCAAATGTAATACGCACCTGTTGGCAAACAGAAGCAGGCTCCACCCGCCCCTCTCGCCTCACGCCACTCGCCACGCGTCCCTACTCTCTACCGCAACACCCTCCACACAACCACAAGCGAAATTAATTGAAAGACAAGTCAGAGACGACGGCTCAGCGCCAACTTTAATGAGAAGCGAAAGAGAATCGCATAAGACATGAAACAAATGAGAAATGAATGAGAAACGAATGTCTCTGCAGCTGAAAATGTGGCCACTTTGCTTTATACCCCGATCACATTAAAGTTGCACGAAGAGGTCCCTTGGTATTCCTGATCAGCACCAACAGGTTAGAAAGCTATAAGTGCTAGATACTTCAAATTAGAAATATAAGTTCTCATCTACCACACACAGAACAAGTTTTTTTAATATCGATAAGTTTCTTCATTTTTGCGGAGTTATCGATGAGAAAAACTGAAATTTTAAAAATATATTTGTCGTATTAATATGTAACATACGCAGATATATTATTGATTAGCTGTAAAAATTCTAAGAAGCTTAGAAAAAATATCCTTAAAATTGGAAATAGCTTATTTTATATTTTCCAGAAATATCTATTTCTTAATAATCGAAAAAATTTCAAAGAATTAAAATTTACATTCTGAAAAATTATCAAATTTACTTTCTCGACTGCTATGTTTATATTTTTTCTAATTTTAATTTTACTTTCTGAGTAATAAGGTGAGTTAGCGCCAAAAGTAAAGCGATTTTCTAAATGTTGTCTGACTCTATTGACATTCATGATCAACAAAAGGTAAGTCAATATAGCCATTTCTGTCCATAAAAGCTAGAGACTTATATTCTTTTCATCGATCATTTTTTGTTTGTTTCTGGGATAAAAAAAAAATCGATTACCGATTGAAATTAATTTATTTGCTTAGTGTGGACTGTAATATATTATTGTATAAAAAATGAAAATAAAAATTATATTGAATTATACTAATAATAAAATATAATATTTATTAATTTTAAATTAAAACATACAAATAAAAAATGCCAAAAATTATACTAATAATAAAATGGAATATTAATTCATTTTAAATTAAAAATAAAAAATGCTATAAAATAAGGGAGATCATTTAATTATAGCTTATTTCACATATCATTTCATTTCATTTGTCACAGATCATTCTTGATATAATTTCATCAAGTTCTGCGAAGAATGTTTCTGTATAAATGTGCAGAAATATACATACATATATACCTTATTAAATACTTGC